CACAACAACGAGGGGGATGGGGTGGCCATAATGGGTTTGGACCAACCAGGACTCATTCCCAGAAATGTCCACCCCCTAAACGAATATCATTGACATGATGTGGAAAAGAAAAGAAGAAACAGCCCCCTTCGTAGCGTTCCCATGAGGCTGCGGAAATGTCTATAAAAGACTTTGCCGAATATCTGAGAACGGTTGTTTTATCCCACAGAGCACAGAGCATGCTCATGCCATCACGGCAAGCTCGCTTTATTGGGGGATGAAAGAGCCGCCTTTACGGCACATTGGAAGAAGCATGCTGCTCTGGTGGTGACACATGGTTCACACATTTTTAGAATTAACTGGGGACAACACGGTACAAGTCAGCTGTAATATATCGCAGGCTGAAAGTTTTCTTGACAAAATCAAAGGGCCTTCGTGAACACTTGGTTTCATTCTAGAGAGTTGGACCCTGAACCCTGGTGGCTTAATGGGTGTCTACTGAACTGTCAACCACAAGATCTTCAATACAAAACCACCAGTTACCATCTCGGGAAGCCATAGGGGCAGTCCTAGCCTGTCCTGGAGGGTCGCTATGAGTCAGAATGGATCCGATGGCAGAGAAAGCGAGAGCGAGAGACAGAGAGAGATTTCACCAGTTGTTCACCAACAGGGCAATCACATTCTGATCCATGTCCGACTCTCAGAGAACCCGCCCGGGTCAGCTGACAAAGAGAACATCCTCTGCGTCCATTCACATCCACAGCGGTGTGAACAGATGCCCCCTCTCAAGGGAGATGTGGTGTGGACCCAGGGCAATTTCAGCTGGACATTGAGTAAAAATCTGTATTCTATCTGTTGCTTTCTAATTCCAGAAAAGAGTACTCCCCATGCCCCTGCATGAAAGAGAAGCATTTGTGTGGAATATTAAACCCAAAAGAAAATGAAGATACCAACGGAAAACATTTAAGCAAAAGAACGGCCAGATTTAGATTTCTATACATTTAAATATAGGTTCCTGATCACATAGGAGTTTTTCAGCTGCAGTCCCAATCTGTCAGAGACAACAAAGACCTGTCATATTTTATATTAATGGACATAGGAGACAATCTATTGGTGGGTACTCTTCAGGACTGGGCCAACTGCTAATGATGTTCTTCTGCAACCCCCTACCCTCATCCCCCTCATCCACCCCCACCCAACTTCCCATCCATTTCAGCTCCATCCTAGGTTTTGCTCCCTTCTACACTGTAGGATGGTTGTCTCTTGTGTTTGGGGCTACACGTTTCTTGTCTTCACTCTTGAATGTTTCTACTCATTTTGGGGTCCCAAGGACCCAGTCCAGCACCATGAGAGCCAATCACTCTTTTTACAAAATCTCTATGTTTAGAGACCAGAAGCCCTGGTGGCCTATTGCTTACTCATTGGGCTACAAACGGCAAGGTTAGCAATTCAAAACCACCAGCTGCTTTATGAGAGAAAGATGGGGCTTTCAACTGGCGTAGTCACAGTCTTTGGACCAAACACACAGGGGCAGATCTCCCTGTCCTACAGGGACACCCGGTCAGCATCGACTGGATGGCAGTGAGCTTGGAGTTTTGGGATATGTACAGAGAGGTCTTGGTGCTGCACTGGCTAAGCATTGGGTTGCTAATTGCCAAGTTGGCAGTTCAAACCGACTAAATGGTAAGGTTGTGGGGAGAAGATGAGGCCATCTACTCCCATAAAGATTTAGTCTCAGAAACCCACGGAGGAAGCAGTTCTCTTCTGTGCGATGCGTCATCACGAGTTGGACTGGGCTTGGTGGCAGTGGGTTGTCTGGTTTATAGACACAGAAAAAAGACTAGAAGGATATACATCACCGTGTTAGTGCACACGTGGGAGGGGGTGGGGTTATAGGTGGTCTTAGGTTTTTTTTTTTTGTTGTTTTGAGTTTTCAAAGAAAAGATGAATGATGTTTAAATGTATATTTTAAAAAGATTATCAAAGCTAGAAAGAAAAAGTATAGAAAGTTAAGAAATATGATGTCTAAAACTCATTATAAGCACTTGTATTCATCAAGCCAAATCTGTCCCAGTATATCCAATGAAAAGAAAGCCTCTCTCATTAGCACCTAAAAGGCCCGAGATCTGAATGTTGAACAGAGCTCTACCATCTTTCTCCAAGCTGAAGGCAAAATTGGAGGAGACATGCAACATGATTAAGTGCATAAAGAGGTGTCTGTGGCTCAGGGCTCAAATCTCCTTTGTATTCATAATTACCTTTCTCTGAGAAAATAATAATTTTTCATTATCCCAGTTTATTGATTTGGAAGAAGAGCAGGGAAGATCCTGCCTTCCTCCTAGGTTTGCTATGGAAAGCCATGGAAACTGACTGCTGGGAAAACTCTGAGCCAAGCAATCCATGAGCAGAACGTGGCTAAGTATTTGACTATCTGCACATGCCCTGTAGGGTGGTGCGGCGGGTTGTTGGGCTGGTAAGTGCAAGGTTGGCAGTTCAAATCCACCAAGCACTCCTCAGGAGAAACAAGGATTAACTCTAGGGCAGCGGACAGTGGGCTCTCCCTTGTGAAAAATATGAGGCCAACCTGCTAGTGCAGTTTTACATTCTATTTCCCTGTTGCCCCTTAAAATTAAGGCTTGTGTGCATGTGGCCTTAGGCAGTGTATGTAGACCTGCACTGCCCTGCCCATCATGTTTGTCCACTGGGGCTGTTTTCTCTATAAATCTGTCCAGAGAAGTGCTTTGCCTGCTTTGGTCAAGATGTGGCTAGCGGCCCAGACTAGGCCAGCGAGACCTTCCTTCACCAATTATGTGACTATTGAGTGTAATGCAGTAAGGGTCCGGGGTGTGTGGACTCCATTAGCCCCAAAGTAGAGTCTTTGTGGACTCAATTAGCCCCAAACTCCTGTCCCTGAAAACCATGTCTCAGGTCTTTAAGAACCCCTTCAATTCTGTAAGTTTCCCCATATCCTTCAGATGGATTCCTGCACTGTTCAGGTCAATCACGGCGATTTACGTTATTTATGACTGACACCTTATGGATCACACCCCGGGCTGCTAACTGCAAGGTCAGCGGTTTGAAATCACCAGCCGCTCCTCGGGAGAATGACGAGGCATCTACAGACTTGGAAGCCCACAGGGGTGGTTCACCTCTGTCCTAAGGGGTTGCTAGGAGTCAGCAGCGTGGAGGACTGAAAAACTAGATTATATCAAGATCCTACAGAACATCTCGGGGCTGGGGGTGGTGTGTTAGCCGCCCTCCCCCACCCCACCCCCGCCCCAGAAGGCCTCGGCTTCCTGGGGAAAGAATGAGGAATTATGTCATCGGCCTCCTGATTCTGTTGTTCGCTTTCTGGCCTTCCCCTGCTCTTCACCAACAGCATCCCCCTCCTTGGACAGAGGGAGAGCAAATTCATACTTGCGCACAGCAAAACGCTGAGCTTGTCAGATAGAAAGTGTTTGGAGCTCTGAGTTGTAAACACGATGCAACTGGGCCCACTTGGCTCCCTGACTCATCTTTTGATTTTTGTTTTCCTTAGGTTTTATCCACACGCTGTTGTAAAAAAAAAAACAAGTCTAGCCTCCACCGTGGTTTCTCCTTCCAGCAAATCTCCAAGGTCTAACGGTGATTACCATGTATGGAGTGCAACGAGCCCAGTGATATATCGAATGTGTTCATTTTACTGGCGAAACACTGACGATGAGCCAGAGAGACTATATAATATATGTAAGTCTCATTAAGCTGTCATTACTTGGAACGAGAGTTTCCAGGCAAATAAACACCCAAATCTCACTCCTGCAGCTCCCGCTGAACAACGCACTCAACTGAACCTCCTTTCTGCACACATTCTGTTGACTTCACAGAGGATTATGGACGCACGGGAAAATGAGAATCAGGTAGGGCGATTATCATTCTGAAAAAGGAAAACATGCCCACATTGATTGGATTGCTCAGGAGGAAGAGAAAGAGCCATTCTCCTTCAGCATCTTTAATGGCTCAAAAGAGCCGAAGTGTTTCACGGGAGGAATCTACATTTCTTGTTGCCACCACAGATGAAAATAAGGTAAAGTTGGAAAATGCCCTTTTACCGGCCATCCAGAGCGGAGGGTGTAACTCATTCGTGATATTCACGTCTCTCACTCAATGTACATTTTCTGAAGGTTCTCAGTGCTGGGCACTCTCTATAGTCTCTATGGGCCAGTTCAAGACACGACGAAAACAAGCTCAGTGTTCAAGCTGCCTAGAGGAACTGCCGACAGAGTTTCCAGCTTTGCCTCTTTGCCTTGCAGCCCCTGGGGGATGCACACACACGACACACGGCTGCTAACCAACCAAGCATTTAGAAGTGCCCGTCTACGCAGAGGTCCCTTTGAAGAATAGCCAGCCATTGGAAACCTAGTGGAGTGTCTATAGTTCCACCCTGAAGCACAGGGGGTCTCCGTGAGCCAGAGCTGAATTCATGACAACACGTTTTCTAAATATCAGTCTAAAAACAGAACAACGAAGCACATCCTGGTATTGAGAGGAGAGTGTACAAAATTGTGACCTCCACAAGAACAGTCGGCATTTCTCCTAGGAGTTAGCAACCAGCCTCATGCAGCTCGGAGCCAGAACACAAGCAGATCCTGTCCATCCCCCCAGGCATCCTTCAGACAGTGGTCCACGTCAGTCCCCAGTTAGGAGAAGCATGAGCCCTAAAACCACATGCACATTCTGCTCCATCACCGTTTCTAGCCCACCTCCCAGGCAAGCCTACTCACCAACCTGTTGTCTGTCAGGGAACCGGGTTCCTATCTCTCTACACAGGTTAACCAGGAGGAAATCCTTAGAAGCGCCCCAGCAGGCCTGTGCTGGGGAGTGCTGGAGCCTGCTGGGGAAACCTGCTGGCATTTCCGAGAGTGGGAAGCACAACTCTACTTAGACCACGACTTACCTTCAGAGGTGACATGAGCTCACAACCACATCTGGCTCTTTAGGAGGTGTCTTCATGGGAAGCAAGACTTTTCATAAAAAAAGGATATTGGGCCACTAGGCCTGGGCAAAGCTGGGTATTTGGCATGAAAACACAGTGCATCATAACGAAGTCATTTAAAACAGATTCTGGAGGGGAGAAGAAAAGCAAAACCAAACAGGAAATTAGGTTCTTGTAGCAATCTCAGGAATGCAAGATTGTTTATTTGTCTGGTTTGGGCTAATGGTTCTGATAAGTTGGCTGGGGGGGTCATGATCTCACCAGCACAGAAGCACTGACTGTCAAACTCACTTTCTTAGGACAATGGATAGAAGTATAACATTTTACAAAGAGGCAGCCAGTGCCACTAGTCGCTTTAACTACAAAGAACTTTTAAAATAATTAACGATTCCATGTGAGGCAATTCCATGTACACAGAAGTAAGATCCCTTCTTTGTTTACTTCCTAAGGGGGCAATAAAACTCTAGGAGAAGGTGGTGATGCAAACAGAGAATTGATGAGGAAAAGAAACGCCCTGCCACTAAGTCAATTCAGACTCACAGCAACCCCAACAGGGTTCCTTAGGCTGTAAAGCTTCATAGGAAGAGGCCGCCTCATCTTTCTCCAGAGGACCCTCAAGTGAACTTGAACTGCCAACCTTACGATTACCAGTCCAACAGTTACCCAACAGAGTCACCAGGCCCCTGGAGGAAAAGAAGAACTGCCAAGCCCCTGCCCCCAAACAAAACAAAACAACAACAAGGGCTATGAGCTGCGACTGGACCAGACAAAAACTTCCCAGTAGAGGAAATGATGCATGTCCTATTTTAAACTACCGTATCTACTCGAGTATACGCCGACCCGAATATCAGCCGAGGCACTTGATTTTACCACAAAAACTGCATTAAAAAATGTGCTCAAAAACTCGGCTTCCACATCAGCATATGTGGGGTTTTGTTGGCAGGGAAGCAGGGGGACGGCCACGGGAATAAGGCAAGTCCCAAGGACACACCACATTGGCTTCATCAAGGAATTCGGTGCCTTTCCCTCATCGCAATGGCAATGCTCTCCCAGCCAACACAGATGGGAAACGACGTACAGGCAGATCTAAAGCCTTCGGAATACATCAGTGACACCTGGAAGCCAAAACCCTATGGGAATTTTCATTCCAACACTGAACTACGTGAACTGAGATTAGATTTCCCAAATCCATGTCTGTAAGTAATTTCTACTCAGAACTAATGGTTTCATCACGGCACTTATTTCTTTTTTTTTTTTTTCTTTTTTAACATTTTATTAGGGGCTCATACAACTGTTATCCCAATCCATACACACATCAATTGTGTAAAGCGCATTTGTACATCGTTTCTCAAAACATTTTCTCTCCATTTAAACCCCCGACATTAGGTCCTCATTTTTCCCCTCCCTCCCCGCTCCCCCCTCCCGCATGAGCCCTTGATAGTTTATAAATGGGTATTTTGTCATATCTTGCCCAGTCCGACGTCTCCCTTCATCCACTTTTCGGTTGTCTGTCCCCCAGGGAGGAGGTCACACACAGTTCCATGTAATCGGTTCCCTCTTTCCTACCCATTCTCCCTTTACCCTCCCTGTTTTGCCACTCACACCACTGGTCCTATAGGGCTCATCCGTCCTGGATTCCCTGTATTTTTAGTTCCTATCTGTACCAGTGTACCTCCTCTGGTCCAGCCAGTCTGTCACTTATTTCAACATAAGTGATAGATTGTAATTCAGAGCTGCCACCTATGACGCAGGGCTGCCCATCACACTGAGCCAGAAGAAGCAGAGAAGCCACGAGAGCGAAGCTGTAGGGACTTCAGCTTGCCTGAGTGGGACCCCCAGGCTCTCCTCGTTCGTTTGTTCTTTACGTCCTCTGAGAACGAGGGGGTGGGGGGACAGTGCTGCCTGGTCAACAGAAGGCCTGTGCTTGTTATGCTACATCGTGGTACAGCACCAAGCTTGACTTGACTGCTGCCAAGACTAGGGGCCTGGCCAACCAGCCAGCACTCACATTTGGGCATGGTTTTATGTTCTCTACTAAGACGCAAGTAGTCCCGGGCCATAGTGGGTTTTGGTTGGGCTGATAACCTCAAGGTCAGCAGTTCCAACCCACCAGCAGATTCACAGGGAAAATCTGAGGCCATCTGCTCCGGTAGTGACTTACAGCCTCAGAAACTCAACGGGCAGCTCTATTCTGTCCTCTGGGTCACTGTGAGTTGAAATGAACTCCCTCTGTGGCAGTGACTAATATGCGTGAACTGATTAAAATCACACACACACACACACACACACACACACACACACACAACCTTTTCCTGCCAGAAAATGATTTCCGATGTCACCCAACTAGTAATGCGGGCCATAGATGAAGATCACTTAAGAGAGGAGTAATTTGTAGGCAGAAATCAGATATTTTGATGAATTAAGAGAATGTGTTTATTTTCAAATCCAGGAGTGTTGTGTTTCTACGATGTAAACAAGTTCCACCGCTAAGCCACATTATTTTAAATCCTTACTTTAATTCATAAATGTCAACAGTCCTCACTCTCTTGTGGCCATGGACCTTACTGCCAAATAGACTATGTGTAAGGAAGAAAGATCAGGGTAAAAACTACAGGGAACAGTGTCTGCCGTTCAGTGGTGATGATCTCCTGGCCGCTAACCTACACAATGGCAGGTGAAGCCCCACATCTGTGTGGGCCCACGATGCCTGGGTTTCAATGTCTTGTTGGTTAAGAAGTGAAAAATCCAGATCTTTAGAGACAATCTTAAAAAGAAAGAGACTGTTTGCTCTTCACGGCTGCTAAAGATCTTATGCCATTTTCCATAAATGTCATACACTCCATGTACCAGAATTCTCCTTTGGGATCAATATTCAGTTCCAAGAAATTGCTGTTTTTCATATTACAGAATTATACAGTTGGGCAGTTAACTGGGGGTGGGGGCGGGGTAGCGGGGGGAAGGAGATTCTGCCGCCTTTTTTCCTGGCCTATCCTTCTGGAAACATGCTCTCTTTCAGGAACCTTGGTGGTGCAGTGGGTTACGTGTTGGGCTGCTTACCGCAAGGTCAGCAGTTTGAAACCGCCAGCCGCTCTGCGGGAGAAAGATGAGGCTTTCAGTTCCTCTAAAGATTCACAGCCTCAAAACCCACAGGGGAAGTCCGACTCAACCTATAGGGTGCATATCGGGTCCTAGGTGTCAAACTTAACTCAACGGCGATGAGTCTGTGTCTTTATTTTTAATGGATCCCTCAAGGATTTCTCCATTCTAAATTCAAAGTGAACTTTCTCGAAAATTCTTATCACATCATTCTCCTTGGCCAAATCTCTCCAGCCGCTCTCAAATGCTGTTTGAATCGAAGACCCCCTAGCGTCTGAACCACAAATTCCTACATCTTCTTTTCCTACTTCTACATCCGTACAACTTAGTCTGGCAAATCCAGGCTGTTGTTTCGAGATCAGTCCTAGGTTCCCTGTTTAGTTAGCAGTCTTCCTTCAGGGCTCTGTGGAAGGGTGTCTTCTCCAGGTCACTGCCCTTGCGCCCCTCAACCAGTGGGTGCTCCTGAAGCACCGGGCCCTGTTCTGTTTCATGATAAGTTCATGTATACACTCGCCAGTGTCCTCTAAGGAACCGTAGTCCTTGCACCCATTTCTGGTACAATGACTAAGGGCTCGGCTAACAGAGCAGTCAGTAGCTTGAACCCAGTGTCTTCACAGGAGACAGAGCCTGGTGATCTACTCCCTTAAAGATTACAGCCTGAAAACCCCATGAGACAGCCTGCTCTGAAATATACAGCTGCTACGAGTCAAACACCCACAGGACAGCACCAAATAAGAACGATGTCCTCGAGCAGATCCTATGCTTCCTTAGGACACAGGTAGTAGCACTTCTGGTTCACGCTGCCTGGTCTGAACCACGCAGCTTCCTGCCTGCCCAGGAAGACTGCCAACACACTGACCTGAATATAACTTTGGCCTACACTCTGGGATCTTGGTTTTTTTAACAGCTTATTCCCAGTTTATTCACTACATAAAAAGTAACTCATCGTTTATAGGATGAGGAACTGGAATGAGGAGATAAAATAAGAAGTGGTACCACTTTGAGGAGCTCTATAATAATAAGTATAAATTTATCCCAGGGTATGCTGCGAAGATCCAGAAGGAGAAGTTAAGAGAACTCTGAAGTTTTGAAAGTGGGAAATGCTCTTCTGCGGAGCTCTAAAATGCAAATGCCAAACTCAGCGGCCATGGAGTTGATTTCCAGTTGTGAGGGACCTTAGAGGCAGAGCAGAACTGCCCTGGTGGCTTTCTGTGAACAGCGAGTGGCTCTGAATTGCTGACCTTGCCATTAGCAGCCCAGCATGTGACTCACTACATCACCAGGTCTCTGGAAGGCTACTCCTAGGACACATGCATGAAGCTGCATGATCCACCCAAGACAGCCAGTGTTGGAGAGAGAAGGGCCGCTCTCTGCCCGAGCGACATGGGGATCCTGCTCCAACATTAAGTCAGGGGACTTCCTCCCCAAACTGCGTTGGCTGGCCCCACTGAGGATGGAGTCAGGATTTGGTTATCATGCCACCCATGGATTTCGTGAACACACAAAACCGCTCAATATGCATACCTGTTGCTTCATTTAAAGCTGGCTCAAGGCGGATTGTTTCTAAAAAATGTTCCAGAATTTTTTCAGGTGTTCCTGACATCACAGTATACCTGGATGAGAAATGAAAATGGCATTAGAGTGTCGAAAGTGAGTGCGTCATTGATAAAGAACTTGCAAAATATCTATTCTTTTTTTTTTTTTTTTTTTAATGTGAGATTCCAGGGAAGCAGAGTGGCTTCACTTGGCAGCCAGCCGTCAACTCTTGGGAAGGAAGAAGAGAAAGGGAAAATCACCCATGAAAGTGAATGACTCAAAGTGGTTCTTTCTCGTCCCTCCATGGAGCTAAAGGAACCCTCTGGGGGAGCAGCGGTCGCAGGCTGGGAGCTGGGAAGCCACCGTCGGGTTCCAAGGCAAATGAAAAGGACGGAACACGGGGCAGCTGAGGTCAGGCAGGGGGAGCTGGAGAGGGGAATTCGCAGCAAACTAGGTTAGCCATATATGGGTTTCTCGTCGCAAAATCTGGTCCCACACTCGAGGCTCCCTATCTATTTCTGGAGTGCTCTGTCTTTCCCAACTGTACCCTGGTATACGCATTGGAAACGCAGCTATTAATAAACTGGGAGAAAAGAAAACAAAACCCCAAACACAAAGCGGCACACACATCAACCCCGCCTGGCAGCCTCATGAATAGACTAAAAAACAAACAAACCCAAACCCCTCAAACTCACGGCCCTGGAGTCGATTCTGACTCAGAATGACCCTACAGGACAGAATGGAACTGACACCCTGCGGGTTCTGAGACTCACCTTGCTCCTTAGCGGGGCAGCTCAGGGGTTTGCACCACCAATGCGGTGGCTAGCGCCCAACAGGTAACCCATTATGCCACCAGGGCTCCTAGCACCGTGAATACGAAAGGCCAAACTAGCAGTCAATCACACATATACGTTATTTTCCCATCAAGTGCTAATTATTTGGGGTGGACATCGGTATGATCTCAGAATATTCAGCCGTGGTGCTCACCACGCCAAAAGGAAGGGTCTTTCCGAAGAACTCAGTGTGGCATGATCCGAGGGGGCAACAAACCAGTTAGCGGGAGTCGTAGGCTCTTGTGACAAGACATTATGCTGACCCGGATCCTCCCCTTCCCAAACTCAGGACTTCGCATTTCTGCTCATCATTGCACTTAAAGCCGAAAGACACGGGAACAAAGCACTGATGGAAATCAAATGCACCTCTGTTCGAAACTCTGGGGCAGAATCCAGGAAGGTCCTCTGAGGCCGTTACACCACTTCATGTTACATAAAGCTGAGGGGTGGTATTCAGCCTGTCAATCAGGTCACAGCCTGAGCTGCCTCCTTAGGGCTGTGGCCTTCTCATGAGGAGGGTCCACGGACCCTCCCCCTCTCTCTCTGCCTTGACCTTCCTGCTGGCTGACCCCGAGAGCTACTGGAGCTCTGAGACGCTGCCAGCAACACTGAATCCACATGACTTTGCAGCTGGCAGCCTGTGATCTTCCTGCATTCTGCATCATTGCACGTGGCTGCGTAAGTCGAAGAGGGACTCTGGACTTGAGTTGGACGGGGCTGGGATGAGTCTAGATAAATAATTACTTCTAGATATCAAGCTCCCTCTTAAACACATATGAGTGTCCCAGGATTTGTTTCTCTAGTCAACCAGGCCTAACGCACCCTCCTCACCAACGCCCTCTCCCTCCTCACCAACGCCCTCTCGTGCCTGTTTGAGGACTTGGAAGAAGAGCAGTGTGATCACAAGAGCGTCTACAACCATTAAGCCCCAGGGTCTTCACCTCATGCCCGAAGTTCGGGAGAAAGGGGAGAAGAAACGTTTCGGCATATAACCCTGCACGTGTGAGCATGGAAAGTGAAGAGCAGAAACCAGGGGGATGGATAAAGGAGCATACATAATCTCTCTGGGAGGCAGTTGCTAGCTTATTCTGTGCATGTGAGCATGTGTGTCTGCATGTGTGGAGAAGCAAAAGGAAGTTGAAGAGTTAAATATTTCGAGGAAACCTACCTGATTTGGGGACTTGAGGAAGGAGAGAAATAGAAATTTAAAAACCAACCCCTCCCTTAATCCTACAAGCAAGACCCCCTTTCTCTAAGAAAATAAACCAGACGCCCCCGAGTCCACTCAGGCCCTTGGCGACCGCCCCCACACGTGTCCGAGTAGAAATGTGAGCCATAGGATTTTCAATGGCTGAGTTCCCGGACAGAGAGCTGCCGGCCTTTCTTCCAGGGTGCCTCCGGGTGGGTTCACACTTCCAAATCTTTCGGTAAACAGCCAACTGCATTCACCGTTTGACCCAAGTAACCAGATAGAAGAGAAGAGTGTTTCTTTCTGAAAGGCAATGGATATTTGAGGACAGGAGAAGTCATATCTATAATGGCTTTCAACACCTAAATGCAGAAAGGTCCCTCAGCCCATCCAGTAATTCTTGGACTGTTTGACTCTGGCTGCACTCACCAGATGAGCTGGGAGCGGAGCAGCCCTTTACTAAGGACTGGGGTTGGAGGGAGTGCTCAACACATCGGACATGCTTACTACGGCCCAGGCAACTCAGTGGGCACTGGCTGATGTCATCAAGTGGAATCCAGCATGTTAAAAGAATGCTCAGCACAGTGAGGCATTGCGCCTGAGGCAACCAAGCTGGTACTTAGGAGATCTCTGAGGTGAGCCAGGTCCGCCCGTGATTTATTGCACATCTCTGCCTGGCCTGTACAACAAGATGTTCTGGATGGAGCCTAGGTGTTGATATCTGGAGCTCAACCTAAGCAGAAAATATTCCATGCAGCTGAAAATCCTTTGCTCATGAGAAGGCGCTCTCCAAGCTACGGCTGAAAAATCTCTAAACACCAAGTCGAGAAATGCGGACACTTCTATCTGCACCTACACACCCAAGGAGCAGGGTTGTCTTTCTGCAAACAGGCTGGAGCTGAGCAATGGGTAGTTGGCCATTTATGGAAAATGCAACACAGTAACTAATGCAGGAATGGTGATTGTATATTCTTTTCATTGCTACACCCATACAAACACAGAGCCGAAAGACATCCCGACCAGCTAGTGTGTAAGGCTTCCATGTAGACCATCCGCCACGAGATACTGCGTTCTTATTAATGACAGGCGAATAGCACGCACCGTGTGGAGTGGTTTGAGCTGAGTCGGGTGATTTTGAGAATTCAAAAGGAATACATAAACGATTCTGGATTTCTTAGGACAAAAGCGAATCAAGACAATAAGGTTGTTATCAGAACCAACCGGGAAACCTCCTTGTGTGCAAAGAGGACTGTCTTTCAGGAGCCAGAGGCCTCCTGGGTTCTACATCTCAAGTCCATCCATGGCCGGGGCTCCTGATAACAGATTGAAGTTTTCAGGACCAGACACCAAATATTCACTTATGTGGACCCCACCCCCTCCCCGTTCCTTTTCAAGCTGGTCTGGCTTGGAAAGCTTTCGCTTTGACGGGATGGCTTGTCACTCTCTGGGGACCCAGTTTTGCCCAGTACGTTGCTTTGTACTCATTGGCATTTCCTAATGGTGAAATGCCTGAGTTTTGAATTAGCTGAGAAATTTGGATTGTACTAAAGGGATATTATGAGAATCAGATATTGGTCTAGACTAATTTTAATTAGTCTAGACTTCTTTTTTTCTTTCTTTCTTTGTTCCCATTCTCTTAAGTTTGATTTCCTAAAAATCTGTTTTGGAGACTCATCTGAACGGGAAGTGCTGTCATGCCCCTGGCCATTCCCCAGTGATATGAAGAGGTTGGGGATGGGGTCTCCTGGCCCAGGATATCAAGGTTAAAGAGACTTTCGATAGCTTAGTTTTTCAGTTTAGCAAAATCTTCCTGAAACGGCTAATGCATTGTTAAAGGATACAGAACCCCATTATAAAATGGTCTAGTGACATGGATGGCACTACAGGAAAGCAGAGGAGCCCTGGTGGCATAGCAGATTACTTGGGCTGCTAACCACAAGGTCAGCAGTTTGAAACCACCAGCTGCTTCGAGGGCGAAAGACGAGGCTTTCTACTGCTGTCAACAGTTACGGTCTCGAGAACCCACAAGGGCAGATCTATTCTGTCCCGTAGGGCCATTATGCGTCGGCATCAACCCAACGGCAGTGAAAGAAAGGAACGCGACCATGGGCTCCCACCTAAGAACAGCTGAAACGAACCGGGCAGTATTTCTTTCTGTTGTACACGTGGTCCTGAGTCAGGACCCACTCTGCGGCCCCTCACAACAACAAAGAAAATCATTAATGAGTAGTCTTGACTTCAGATTAAACAAAAAGTGTTTTTGTGCTTATCCTCCTTTGTGGACTGGAAGGATAGCTCTTAAAAATATGTAGGCAAGTCTCAAGACTGGCTAGTAGTGAAAATAGATAAGGAATAAGGGAAGCTAAAGAAATACTGGTGATACCGTTAGAGACTGGTCTATGGCAGGCTTTGGAGATGCAATGGTTGGTGCAACTCCTTTATCATGTTGAGGATGTGGTGCTTATGTTCTACATTGAGCTGTACTCACTTGGGAGGCAGACAAGTTTGGGTATAGAAGTTGGTTGAGCTGGGCCAAGCTCTGCTATTATAAGTTGAGTGACACTGGGCCAGCAACTTGCTTCTTTGGGCCTGACTTTCTTTACCTGCTAAACGAGGTTTCCATGAAAATGAAATGAAATGCAAACTGCACCATGGCTATTCATTTCTCCCTCCTCCTTTGCAAATATGCTGATTCATCTGGATGAAAATGTGTGCGCCTTAGACTTTCAGCCTAAACAATTAAAAATAAAAACACCCCCCTAAGCCCCATCCATCAGCTGTAGTGACTGTCCTGATCTAGGGGATAGCCCCACTTCCCTGGCAAACAAAGGAGAGTACCTTGGGATGCAGTCTGGTTCAGCACACTATTTTTTGGTGACATTTCTTCAGCTACGGAATTAGTGTTTTTATTCTGCTAAGGCTGAAAATTAATCTTTATTTTAAAAACCAAGCATCTTTTTCAGTCTTTGCCACTACTTAGAGCCACCTTTCTTAATTCACCTGTCTCACCAAATGTTGGTACGTTGGATGAAAATAATCCTGGGGTGGAATATTGTGGGCCAAAGCTAGAACTGCAGGTGGAGAGGTGAACAAGGGACTCGGGTTAAACAGAAGGCCCAGGAAAGGGGATGCAAATGCCCGTTGACAGCAAGATGGAGCACAAGGGAAGCCAAATGGACACCTCTGGGTGGCAATCCATATATTGTCTTAAATCTGATATCTGGATTTCCCTCCAGGAGGTTTACACATTTTTTTTTTTTTAATTTCTGAGTCAGTTTATTTCTTGTTAGCTCAGCGGGAGAAAAAGCACTGCAGCCATGGTGGGATTTTGTGTTTCCCCCTCTCTTACTCTGGGCATATGCCTTGGGCAGGAGGCAGTGTCCTAAGAATGCTTATTCTGATAACGAGACGGCAGGGGGGGGGGGGACCCCACTCCTTGAGAATGCCTCCGTTATGAAACTCAGAGACCAGAGGCTCCGTGCCCTGGCATTCCTGTTGACACTGTTCCCCCACGTGCCTTCTGCTTCCCAGCGATCGCAGTGGACCACTGTGCACAGAGAGGGATTTTGAGAGTTGGGGAATATTCTCCCGGGAGAATCGCTCCTGCAGCAGCACCAGGCTCAATGCGTGGTGCCAGAAATGGATACATTATACTCACAAGATGGGTGATTAGTCAATAGAGAGAGAGAAAGGGAGAGAAAAAGTCCCACACACGGTCGTCTCCCACAAAAAAGAACTTGCTATTGTGGAAATGATGATGCCATGTGAAAGGTTAATCGCAGTCTGGCAATTACAGTGTTGGATGCAAACATACTTCTGCTGAGGCTGTGAGTTTCCTTGATTAGACGCTCTGTTCCCCGCTGGGACCTTCTCCAGCACCAAGACATCTTGGTCATGTTCTTTAAGTCGGACTGTATTCGCCTCCACGTCCTGCAAATACAAATTAGACCACACACAGATGCTGCCATTTATCCCGACAATGAAAAGGCACTTCCAAACGCTTCAGAAACTCATTTGGTGCTTGTGATGCTAATCGGTGGCGCCTACCAATTAAGTCATTTTCAAAGTCAAGGGCTGCAATGGTCAGAGATGGCACCAGGTGAGGCTTGAGTCACATGTTCTTAAAACTCTGCTTTTCCTACCCCAAGGAGCCCTGGTGGCACAGTGGCTGCAGCACTCGGTGGCTTAACCAAAGGGTTGTTGGTTGGAGCCCATTGGGGGGAGAACGATGCCGTGGTTGGCTTCTGGAGACCCAAAGTCCGACGCTTGACCTCTAAGGTCGCTATAAGACCAAAGCCCTTCTGTGGCAGTGTGTTAACTGGTTGGCTTTTCAGTTTAACCAAATTCAGACCCAAAGCCAGCAGAACCGATATGTTATGGTTTGTAATCTAGGGAATCTTTGGGAGAGGGTGGGGTGGCAAGCAGATGGGAAAGCAAGTCGACTCACTGATTTATTCTTAATGCGTGTGGCTGTTGGCACTCGGTTTCAGCAAAGGTCTTTCATTCCCATTTTCTTCTGAATGTATTTAGTTCCCTTGGGCGGGGGGCAGCTTTCTTTCCAGTCATAGATGATTTCTTTATTTGAACAAGTAGTCAGCTATTTTCATCTTCATATTGCCATTATTTTTTAGTTAATGTGAATGATTTTTAAAATGATATCAAGAATAACGGTCCTAAATGGATTTCCTTCCCCACCTCCAAATTTTTGGGTCGGGTGTAAACGCTCTATGTGTCACATGCAGCATTAGTAAAGTTTTATCTCTAAATTTCAAAGATACTTAAAACTAATTTAAGGTATTGTCCCTAATAAATTGATTCTCATTTGAAAAGAGAGGAGGTTAAAACCAAGTCAAGTCATGTTAGGTAGTTAGTTTATTGTGTCAACCTGTCCGATAAACACATGTGGGGTTAATTGAAGGATGGAGGGCTAAATGGCTCGGTGAGCCTCGCTTTCCTAGTTCTCAGATCTCTTGCTTTGTGATGGTCAGACCAGGGTGCAGCTGCCTTAGCCAGTTCCCTGCTTCAGCTGGCAAGGCTGACTTCCTACAAGACATCCCCAAGGAGAAGTCGCATGGACCTACCCCGATGCAGCCCTGGGTGCTGGAGCACCCATGTGGAGACCCCTGCCAGCGCTGAGATGCTTACATGATCACTGATTCGGCTTTCCTCCTGCAGTCAGTGTCATTGTGTGTGTTTTGTGAGATGGAGGAGGACTTTGTGGGTTGGTGTCGGACATAGGGGCTAGTGTTGGACTTGTGGGCTTGGGCAGCACCGGGTTGGGATGTTTTCTTGATGCGCACTTAACCTTTATATAAAACTCTCTCTTATACATGAGTTTTGGTGGATTTGTTTCTCTAAAGTACCCAGACTAACATACATGTGATGTTTTTTTCTTTATTTTTCGGTGCTATCAACTTTCATTGATTGGTCTGAGTGGATCACCAAGAAGAAAAAGTAAAAATGGACTTCGGGCATTTAGTGACCTATAAGTTCACTTCAAACATATGAGAAATAAACAAAAAGTTCATTGAACTTTCTTTGCAATTCATAGAGGGTGATCCTAGGACAAACTTTGTTGCCAGAAAAGTTGTCAGGGTGTGAAAGTATAAATATCCTTCCCTAAGGAAAGGCTGGTTATATGGTAAATCATCACCATATAACGCCACGTGTACCCAGAGACACAATGTGGTATTTAGGCCTTAGGGGCGGGGTAGGGAGAGACGCTAAGGCGGGGAGAGAAAGGGGAGAATCCGTTCTGTGGATTAGCAGAGAAGGGATGAGAGCAAGGGAGACCCTAGAGAGAACAGCCTCTCTGTGTGATGGAGGGCTTCGAGCCTCAAGCTACGATGGAGGGCTTCGGCCCCGAGTGGCCAAAACTGACAGGACCTCACCAGACAGACGCCCTCCTCCGCCTGGCCTCCACCAGTCAAGCTGAGTCATCCCGCCAAGGAACCAGGGACTGTGACATTTCAAGGGTCCCTCTACTACTCCCACTTTCTCCACCTGCTTGCCAGGTCTGCAATTCCTCTCCTATGAAACCGTTTTAGGGAAAGTACTGACAATGTCGAGGCTTGGCGGCAGGAAGCATGAGGGGAATGATGTCCCATTACATTTAGAAGCCACACGCAGGCAGCTCTGCTCTTTGCTGTAGGGCGGCGATGAGTTGGCATCCTCATCCTTTTCGCTGGAGTGGCTGGGGAGTTGGAACTGCCAAATTTTCGGTGAACAACCAAGTGCTTCACCATTGCACCACCTGGGCTCCTTGGTCCAGCAAATCCCCGGTGTTATCAGCTCTGCTGGAATATCCCCGCTGGGCCCCAGGAGGCGGACCCACACCTTGGACAAGTGGTCCCATCCTAACATGGACCCTCTGTTTCCATAACCTCACACCCCCCCCACCCCAGGCACAGTGCGACCCTCTTCACCCTGTGCAGAAGTCTGTGGTCATTCGGCAAAAGGACACATGGAATTTCCCTTAGCCATAGGATGCCTTACACTTACCCTCAGGATCCGGTTGAAATCCTCCTTGTCTACTCTGAGGAAATGGCAATTATCTTCTCGCAAGACGATGGAGGCCGCCCGAGGCGCATCGTTGACAAGTGCTAACTTGCCGAAGTCATCGCCCTCATGCAAGGTGCAGACCACACCCTGGAGAGAGAGCAGAGCAGGGAGGTGAGGAGGCAGAGCCCTGAAATGCTGGAGACACCATGACACCCCCCTTTCCCCTTGGCCACGATGTATATATACATGGGCCATCCTCACAGGCAGTGGAGGACACAAGTATATTAATGATATCTATCTAATTATGTAATCAGTGATGATGTTCCATCCTTTCAAAAGTGTTGCCCTTGAGGCTGATCCTACTGATAAAAGGACACTGGGTAATATGGTCATTGTCTAATTCAAATGGGTAGACTATTATCTATAGAGAGATATACCCCCAGACAATATATTTCTACTCAGAGCACAATCACTTAGATAACTTACAACAAGAGAGGAAATGATACCTTACAGTGGGTAGCAATGTTTGTTTCAGGTTTAATTGTAGCATTACATTGTTATCACTAAATGAAACACAGTCAATTTCAAAGAGGGGGAAATACATACATAGATATACTTACCTTACCATAAATGACTACATTCACTGATCCTTTTAGAATAATGTACCAGGAGGTACCTTCTTCACCCTGGTTAAACACTAGATACAAAAGAGATGAAAAGACTTACGACAAGAACAGAAGCACATCAATATAAATTACAGCTTATCAAATCATCATTTTTAATTCCCCCAAATTATACACTTATTCTAGAAGAGGGAAAAAAATGACTGGCTAACGCTACCTTGTTCAGGTGGAATATTATTTTCTTTTCGGTAGACTCTGAAAAGAACAGAAACAGCACACTCCTAGCTTTGCCCTGAAAGAGGTTCTTGCTAGCTCTCTGTTTACCAGCAGCCTGCTCTTGAAGTAATCTCTTCTCCCCCCCAACCCCCACATTCATCCCAAGCTGTTATCCTAGACAGGAATTATAAAAAAAAAATCTATCAATGTAAAGTTTGAAAACATGCAAATCAGCACCCTATTCAGGTGACGAGTACAAACATTTTTGTTTATGCTTACTAGCTATACCTACATCATAATAAAACGGGGGGTGGGGGGGATATGGCTTGGAACGATGATCACGACATTCAAAGAGGATGTTATCTTGAGGGGGAAGACGGAGGAATAAAGAAGGAAAAGGAGCCTCCAACTCTACCTGGTTACATCATCTCTGGAAAAATGGCTAAAGGCAATTCTGTCTGTGTCTTCTTAAAGCTGGATTACTATGTTTGCACGATTCTCTATTTTTATTTGAGATGGTTACGTATTTCATCATATGTAAGTTTCTCGAATGTAAAGAATGAAAGAAAGGAAGTTTTATCATTGGTGATAACAATACTAAAGCGTGCCTTTAAATAGTAAAGAAATGGGTATCAATGTTAGAAATACTATTTTGTTGACTGAACATAAAACATCTGGAATAGAATTTTTAGATCCTGTTCCCTGGACCAACGATGAGAGTGGCGATACCAGGAGGGGATGGGGAAGGTGGGGTGGAAAGGGGGAACTAATCACAAGGATCTACATATAACCTGGGGGACAGGCAACAAAAAAGTGGGTGAAGGGAGACATCGGTCAGTGTAAGACATTAAAAAAATAATTTATAAATTATCAAGGGTTTGTGAGGGTGGGGGGTGGTGGTGAGGAACTGATACCAAGGGCTCAAGTGGAAAGAAAATGTTTTGAAATGATGATGGCAGCAAATGTACAAGTGTGCTTGACACAATGGATGGATGGATGGACTGTGATAAGAGCTGTACCGGCCCTCAATAAAATGATTTTAAAAAAAGATCCCGCCCCCCCCCCCCCCATTTTTTTTGGATGACTTACATTTCTTGCTTATTTGACTAAATTGACTCAGGCTGAAGAAAGAGCAAGATTTTCCCAAAGTGCGCTCTTTGGAAAGTTAATGGATGTTTCATTATAAGTGTTCTGTGCTTCATGAGGGCTAGGGAGAGTCGGTTTCAAGAGAGAGGATGTTTTTCTGTATCACAGAACTTGCGAGAACCTTAATGTATATCTGATGAGTCATATGATTCTCCAAGAGAGTAACGAAGGCTGGATGTGTTGACCACAGTCAGGGACTAAATGCACTTTCCCAGAAGGGTTTTAGAGGACCAGTGGGAAATGCCAAGCCAAATAATATTGCCCAGGTACATTAATATCAAATTTCAAGTTCTCGCTTCCAAACGTGACCATAGAATTAAATTATAACTCAGATTCTGGAGAGATACTGTAGACAAGGGGGCTTAAAATGTTCACAGAAAAGTGAAATCAAAAAATCAGAGTTTGTCCGTGAACCTGTTGAAGCCCCTCGTATGAGTACTGCATGTGCCTTTGGAGCCATGAAATGCTCTGGCTTAAAGATTGGAGGCCCGTTTAGAGGTCATTTTAACTGACAATCTCAGCCCAGAGACAAATTCTTCTAAAGCTGCACACTGAACCGAGTTCTCTGGGAAAAGGCACAAGGCTGCCTTGGGTCTTCCCGAAGAGCAGCACTTCATCTGTCAATGCTGCTGACTGAGATTGAGTCCATTCCCACTCGTAGTGACCCACAGGACAGGGCAGAACTGTTGTGTCTTCACGATTATAACTCTTTAAAAAAAAATCATTTTATTGGGGGCTCGTACAACTCTTATCACCATCCATCCATCCATCCATCCATCCATCCATGTGTCAAGCACGACTATAACTCTTTATGAGAGCAGAAAGCCTCATCTTTCTCCCACAGAGCGGCTGTTGGTTTTGACTGCTGACCCTGTGGTTTGCAGCCCAATGTGTCACTGTTTCACCTTCATCCCGCCCTCCTTAAACACACCCAGGGACATCGCAGGTCCTTGAAGCGGTAGAGGAGGAGACAAGGGAAGACTCCTGGAATGGTACCCACTGCGCACGTTGGTCCCGCACAGTGACCATATTTCAGAATCATTGACACCGGTCAAAAGTGCCATGTGACATCCTGTGACATCAGAATCGGGGCCCAGAACAGGGCACAATGGTAGTCAAGCCTTCCCACGGTAAGGGCTTTGGAGAGTGCCGGTCGGGTGCAAACAGAGTGTCCACTTACACACGGTTCCTCCTTTGGCATGGGACTCAAAAATGAGAACGCCCGCTAACTCCCGTTTCACCTAGAAGCAAAAGGGAAAGGATGCTGAGAATCTAGACTGCTACACAAACAGGCAACTAAAGTGGTCACTTCCCCCGCTTCTGGACTATGACATTGATTGTGCCCACGCTTCTTAAGGACAAGGTATTTTCATGGGCAAGTTATTGGTCCTGTAAAATTCTGCAGGAAAAGGCCCCCTGAAAGAGTCAAAGACACAGAAGGTGTCATTTTGAGGACCCAGGTGTGCTTGACCCAAGCCACGGTCTTTTCAATTGGCTTGTATCCATCTGGAAACTGAGCAACGAGTGAGGAAGACCAAAGGAGAGATGATGCCTTTGAAGGATGGTGTTGGAAAACACCGGCTATACCATTGGCTACGCAGAGATCAAATCTGTCTTGAAAAAGTACAGTCCAAAGAATGAGGATGGAGAGACTTCACCTCTAGAAGTTGGTCTGTGGGGACAAGGACATCATGTTTAATACAGTAGAGGGTTGTGGAAAAGAGGAAGACCCTCAGCATGATGGGGTGACTCAGTGGGTGCTGCAACGGGATGAAACACAGAACACTGTGGTGATCACGCAAGACCAGGCAGGTTTGTGTCCTGTACAGCAGAGTCGCTCTACATTGGAACGGACTGAAAAGAATACCACACAGTTGTCTCTTTCTCTGCCTGTGGCTAATCTTACCGGGAACCATTCTCACTAGGCTCGCCGTTGGATTCTTGACGCTCTTACACAATTATCTGAGCAGCTAATTCATACATAAGACCGCCTCTCAGAGACGATGTAAGCCTTGCCGTTTTCTCCTTTCTCCTGTTCTTTTCTCTGCCTCTCTTTCATCTTGGGGGAGAAGGGGGGACCACGGATGGAATCAATCACTCTGCCGCTATTAGAAGAGCTTCCCTGAGTCCTGTGGGAAGCTTCCCTGGAAATATGTCGGGAATCCAAGGTGTTCAAGTCGAAAATGAAGCTTAAATGCATGAGCAGATGTACATTCCAAAATAACCAAGAAGAAGAAGAAAATGTTTCTCCTGAAAGTTCCAAAGTAGGGTCCCACGTTATGGCTTTATCTCCCTCAGAAACAGGGAATCTGAAAATCTTCACAGTGGCTGACTACCGGGGTTTGAGGTACAGAAAACAGACTACCCCCCCACCCCCACCCCTCACTTCCACTGAGGTGGGGATGCAGAACAGTGTCAAGCCAGGTCGCTTCAGCAAAAACTCCATGGGGCCTCAGCTGTTCATACCTGCAGACACAGCAAACTCCCCAGGTGAGACTCCCAGGCCTATGCCACCCTGGAGAGCTTTAGGATGTCCAGGACAGGAGGGAGTGGGATGGAGGCTGAACCAGCCCACTGTCCTGGATACTCCATGTAAAGGAGCAAGGTTACTGTTCCCCAGTAGAGCAGAGGGTAAGGTGGAGGCGGTGCCTACGCTGCCCTAGCTAGGTTGGTGAAAACATTCATGCACAGGAGGGAGAGCGGACAGTGTTGCCCCCTTGCCAGGAACTACCCAGAGCCTGTCCAATGTGTCTCTTTGTTGGTATCAGTGCCGATGTAATAAATGAGCAAGTGCAAGTACAGAGAACTTCATAGATGTGTGTGAGCTGCGACAGAGGATTAAGCCACCCTTAGGGGCAATGAGGCAGCAGGGGCTGGCCGTGCAGTCATTCACGCAGACCCAATTCTGGACGGCAGGGGGACGGAGAAAGGTTGCGAGGTTGAGGGAAGTGGCCGCGTAGAGTCCTTCTTGCTGTGACTTTCACCCAGGTGATGGCAGAGAGAGGAGGGAGATGAAAAGGAGGCGGGGGAGGCAAAGGGGAGAAGGAGAAGTAGAGAGAGGCCTGGTAGTCTCAAGTGAGGAACGTTGTGCAGCCCCCCTCAGCTGGTTCCCAGTGGTGTTGGGATGTTCCGTCCTGGCTGAGGGTAGCTGGGGCTGAGGTCCGCTCCAGCTCTGGAAGGGCAGGGCCAGAGAGAGGAAGTGCCGCGGAGGTGGGTGGTCGTTAGGAGTCGAAATATGAGATCCATGTGCAGCTGGGAATTGGATTCATGCTGCTCCTTTGCTACACAATGAGTGATCACGGTGGGCTTCGTCCACCTCGCCCCTTTCTCTCTCCTAACAAGCAGTTGGGAGTCATAGTTGGGGGATGAGGATGGGGTTTGGAGCCCTGCGGCTTGAGGTTCTGTGTGGCAAATGCCTTTACCCACACACACCCTGCCAGCTGGTGAGACAGCAGCCCATGCCCGTCAGTGAGCTGGGAATGAAAACGCACATTGGACTTAGAGACACCATTTAGGAGCCTCCTTATAGAATCTGTGGACGTTGACCATATCAGTATTATATCGAAATATTAACTATAGCTCAAGTTGCCTGGAATCATGTTCCTATAGAAGGAGATGCCGCTGTTCCTCCTCAGAAGCCAATACCTCTACCCGTTGCCTTCCTGTGGATCTTGTGCACGTGGGCAAACATTCCGAGACAGAGATGGTTAGGGACCTTTGTGTCCTAACATACCTGAAGAGATACTGTCTTGAACTGTCGGCTTCCTTTCTCATGGGCAGGCACACCTGGATCAGATGAGCATCTTGAGCCAAAGCAAGCCATCTTGCTTTCTCTCTTTCCTGCCTCTTGGGGGTGGATTCAGAGCCCCTTCTGGGGTCTGGCTCTTTCTTGTTCTCTCCCGACTGAGTGCACAGATTCTAAGATTTAGATTCAGAAGGACAGACCCCTGCTTCCATTCCATTCAGACCGCGGAGTTTGGGAAGCGTGGGCAGTGAGGAAGAGCAGGCGGTGTTGTGGCTAGGTGCCAGCGAGTCCCTTCCGACCCAGTGACCCTGGGCACCACAGAAGGAAGCACTGCACGGTCCTGCACCTTCCTCACTATTGGTCCGCTGATTAGGAGAGTACTTAATCCCCAGAGGGGATTGTTTTGGGGTATAATTTGCTTAGCACCTCACGTGAGGGAGGCCGGTGGTTTATAAGGTAGCATTCAGATGCCTCCTTCCAATCAAAATGCACCATTCTCTCCTCCAGGCCTAGTGCTGTTGTTGTGGAGTCCATTCTGACTCACAGCGACCTCGTGCGACAGAGAGAACTGCCCTGTAGGGCTTCCTTGCCTGTGCACTTTGGGGAAGCGGCTCACCAGGCCTTCTGCCAAAGCCTCGCTGGGTGGGCTTGAACTGCCAATGTGTTGGTTAGCAGCTGCTGAGCAACAAGACTCAAGTCCTAGGAGTTGCATTGAACTCAAAGCCTTCCCTATCATGCTCTGCAAAGAGAAGACTTACGGTGGTAGAAAGATGGGATAAGGCTTTAATGTGGAGCAGCTCTTCGTAGATGATCTCCAGGTCATCCATGGTCCTCTGGCCAGGTCTACAAGGGGACAAAAAGGAAACAATGAAGAGGAACAACCGGAAATGGCTTCAGGGGTCAGTCGTGGGTTCAGAGATCTTCCTCTATAAAAAGATACTGGCAGAAGGAGAGCTGAGTGCTATTACATTCCCTAAAAGAATTACTTCCCCAGAGGACTTTTGGAAGTGGATGCGTTCCTTGGTCAAAAGGAATCTAAGAAGTCAGATGTGAGAGGATCCTCTTCCGGGGTATGCTCAGGGAGGGGATAACTTCCATTCACCCTGCAGTTTGCTAACTTAACTCTAACTTTGTAGATGCTAACTCCAGCAGCACCTTAACCCATCGCAACAAAAATCAGACTTTTAATGGAACTAGGAACAACGGAAGGAGCCTGGTGGTGCTGTTGGGTAGGTGTGGGACTACTAATCGCAAGGTTGGTGGCTCAAACTCAACAACTGTTCCTTGGGATAAAGATGAGGCTGTCTATTCCTTTAAAGATACACAGCCTAGAAATCCTACATAAGGTCACTGTGAGTTGGAATCAACAGGACACCAGTGGGCTGGAGACAGCTGGAACGAACTCCAGTCCCCCGGGATCCTGTGTGTTATCTCAGCCAAAAAGAATAAGCACGCTGCTGTAGCTATTGGGTTAAGAAAGGTGTTCTCCCAAAGGTCGTAACGAAAGAAAGGATGTGGAGTCAACATTTTCTTACTTCTCTGTTAGGGCTTGAATTGTAGTCCCTGTTCTAAAGGAAGACCTGCCGAAACCTAACTGCCCCAGCACCTGTGAATATGGCCGGATTTAGAAACAGTTTTTCAACAAAAAAAAAATCACTGCCATTGAGTCAATTCGGGCTCATAGCCACCCACTAAGACAGGGTAGAACTGCCCCTGCAGGTTCCCAAGGCTGGGAATCTGTATGGAAGTAGAAAGCCTCCTCTTTCTCCCATGGAACTGCCAATGACTTTGATTGAACTGCTGACCTTGTAGTTAGCAGCCCAATGTATAACTTATGAGACCACTAGGCCTCCTAGAGTCTTTGTAGAGGTAATCATTTTAAGATGAGGCCATTAGGGTGGGCACTAACTCAACTTGACTGGTGCCCTGATGAAAAAGGGAAAAAGACAAAAGAGGCACGCAGGGAGACCACCTGGTGAGGATGAGACAGACACGGGTGAGATGCGGCTACAGTCCAAGGCAGGCTAAGAATTCCAGGCACCCGTCAGAGCTGTTGAGGAAGCTAAGAGAAAGGCAGGGAACACACTGACCTCTACCTCCTCCCCAGCTGCCACACTGATGTCAGACTTTTAGCCTCTACAACGTGGGAGAATCCCGCTGCTGTTTAAAGCTACACAGCTGGGGCTACTTGGTTACAGCAGCCCTGGGAATATTACTGCATATTAATCATGTAAGCATTCTGACACTGTCCCATCATGGCGCTACACTTTAATAAGTGCTCGTTGGTCCAATACATCCAGGAAGGGCTGTACTGAACTGCGCACTGAATTTGGAGTCTGAAGGTCAAGTTCTGATTTCAGTTTGACCACTTAGCATCATTCAATGACATTGGAGCCTTGTTCTCCTCCTGGGAACGCTGGGATCATGCCTTCCTGAGAGAGGTGCTGGGAGACCTAAAGGAAGTGGTCAAGGGCAGGGGACCTGCCTATAGATTTGTGAACAAGAAGACAGCAGCAACAAAGTGATCTTCAAAAGGCATACTCTTAGAGAAGACGTTAAAACACAGTGACAACTCAAACTTTTTTTTTCTAATTTGGGCCAGCAAATGGAATCTGAAATGTTCCGAACAACTATTGGAAAAGTACAGACACTGGGAAAACCAAACATAGCTGTGAAAATGCTAAAGCAGCTCATTGTACTCAGTGATTCTGCACCTGGTACCTTCCCAAGGGCAGTTTTAACTTGAATGAAAGGATAAGGTCTAGCTCTCTGCAAAATCAGTGGACAGTGTATCTCCTAATCCTAACTCTACAAAGACAAGCTATTACATCCACGACCCAGGGAGACACCAGCCAGGTACACCTCCCTCCAAGGATCACCATGGAAGGACACCCTGGCACATTCCTAGTGCTTATGGCTGACCCCCAGAAGCTATCTACGGGGATCCAAAAAGACACTGAAGGCAAAGCTGGGACCACAGGGGCTCTGGAGGAGCCAGGCCTTCTTAGCAAGGGGCCTAATCTACTACTTGACTTAGACATGGGGATTTTGAAAGTAGGACCCTTGGGGATTTAAAAGTCAATTGAGTCAGTCTATCCACCTCTATAGAGGCAGCAAATGTGAATGTCTCAAGGTAGCGTAATAGGATTATGGCTCTTCAGCCCAAGGGGCAGTCCTGCTGTTCTTGCTACTTGACACCAGCTACAAATAGCCGGAGACCTACGAGAAGCTTGGCTAAAAGTAAAAACAGTCACCAAGTCTCATTCTCGCCTCCATGGGGTGGGCTGTTACAGAGAGAGGAGGAAAAACTCAGCTGGGGAAAGAAAGAGTCAGATGCCCTGAAATTTTGACAGACTCAAAGAGTAGGATCCTGGGGGCAGATCTCTCCCAGTTAGGAGTATCTCTATAATCCCAATCTGAAATCAACCCTGAAGATATGAAAAACTCACTGCCATCGAATCGACTGACCCAGCAGCCTATGGGGCAGAGGAGAGCTGCCCCTGTAGGTTTCTGAGACTGCGATTCCTTATGGGGATAGAAAGCCTCATCTTTCTCCCTTGCAGTGGCTGGTGGTTTCGAACTACTGACCTTGAGGTTAGCAGCCCAACAAATAACCCATTATGCGGCCAGGGCTTCTTTATCAACTCCTATGGATTAAACATAAGTACTACTTTTAGAGTCTATAACTCTTGTTATACGAAAACGTATTTCACCCAGGAATTAAAACATATGTTGACGAACCTGGTCAGACCCTAGGGCAATATTCTAAAAAGTTTACATTGTGGCTGAAGGCTGCCCTGGGAGCCGACAGTTAGTCTCAGGACCTGCAGAGCGTGTGGGAGAAGGGAGGACACGCAGCATGTTTTTGAGACGCATGCAATCTTGTTTTCTTCCACCATCTCGCACATTCCAAGACTCTCTTCTCTACCCTCCTGACACCCCACCCTAAGCTTCTTGCCCTCCAGGAGCTCTTCCTGATTTTCTGAACATTTCTCCTGGTGTGTTGTCTTTTGCCCATGCTTGAATTATGCTGTGCCCCCAAGCTCTGTCTTCCACTCTGATCTCTTTTAATTCTGCACCCTCTCTCTCTGGGGGAAAAAATCACCAGCGTTCATCTCCAGGATGATGAACCTACATCTTCACCTCAGTGACACATCGTATAAACGGGGGAATGGGGCACAAATGCAAGGTGGCCCGAGGGTCAGAGTGGGTGTTGAACAAAGTTTGCTGGATGAATGAGCACCCAAGTTCTCCCCATTCGTGCTTAACCCAGGCTCGGCCCAGGAGACATCACAGCAGCACCATGGACCAGCTCGTCCTTGCTGCGTGGCTGGAGAAGCTGGCGTTTATACCCTCTCCTCTGTCCACTGAGGGCTGAGAGAGGCGATGTGCCCAGCGCAGCTCACTCTGGGTGCACGGCACAGTTATGCCATGGTACGTGGTTCATTACTCGTCGGGCAAAGGGAAGCGGCATGAAGATGTGGGACCTCATGTCTTACCACCATTCTCCTGACACGGTGGAAAAGAACCGTGGTGATGTCACGGTTAAGTAGTAGGCTGTGAAGGGAAAGGTTGGTAGATTAAACCCAGCAGCAGCCCTGAAGCGGGGGAAAGACCCGGCAATTTGCTCCTAAAAAGATTACACCAAGAGCCAGTTCTACTCGGCTACATGGGGCCACTATGAGTTGGAATCCACTCGATGGCACACAACAGACACACACAACAGTCTGGATGAGAGCACATAAAATCCGATGCGCCCGTCAGTCACCTCTGACTCTTAGCCACCCTACAGGGCAGGGCAGAACGGCCCCGTGCAGGTTCCCGAGGACCGTAACTCTTTACGGGAGTAGAAAGCCTCGTTCTTCTCTTGCAGAGCAGTTGGTGGTTTAGAACTGCTAACCTTTCCGTTAGTAGCCCACCGCGTGAATCCGCTACGCCCACAGGTCCTGTCCCCGCAGACTGGTGGGTGAGTTTCCACTTTCAGTTAGCAGGCGAGTGCTTCACGGCGGCACCACCAGGGATCCGCACATTTCCCTCAGGATTAGAGATGTGTTCATCCAGCTGCAGGAGACAGACCTCACCCTGAGACCTGCTGCAGGAGCCCAAAGGAAGTCAAGATCAGGGGGACCAGGCCTGAGGGAGCCAGGGGAAGACCACGCAGCAACTGTTAGGCTGGGCCGACTTTGGCCAGATCCCTGGCTGTCAGGCTAGAGGTGTGAACGAAAAGGTGTGAGGGGTCTTCAAAACATTTGTGGCAAAACGGGATGAAGAGTGTGGACTTCCCTAAAAATGTTCAAGCCCCCTTCCTATCTTTTAAAAGAAACCAAGTGCGTCCACCAAGCAACACCACGAGTGCCAGGAACCAAGTAATCAGCCGGGGACGTCGATGGGTAGGCGCTCTGAGCTGACGGAGAGCGGAGAGGAAGAGACTGTCCGAGAAACATCCCCAGCAGAGCACTCTCAGGAGAAAGCCAGCCGAGGAGTAACCGTCATCACAGCAAGAGGAGCACTGTGAGCGGCGAGCCCTGTGCAGACCACGAGGCAGCTCCATGCAGACTGGTTGGGCCACCCAGGTCCCTGCCTGCTCAACCCCCCACACTGAGAGTGGACAGAGCCTACCCCCAAGACTTGCTCTCTCTCGTCAGTGCCCAGGAGTGCTCTCGGCCAGGGCAACCTGGACAAGACGCAGAACAGACCCTGGGAAAACCCTCTGTCTTCTTGGGGGCACAGCAGAAGGTAAGAGCTTCATTCCTGAGAAACTCCTCTCATGGGAGAAGGGAGAGGGAGTGACTTGGTCTGCTGGCCCCACTCACCGGGGTTCCATAAAGCAGAGCCCACACAGA